GATGAATGGATGAATGGATGGATGGGACAATGGCTGAATGGATAGGTGGATGGATGGAAAGATGGATGGATGGATGGATGGATGGATGGATGGATGAATGGATGGATGGATGGATGGATGGATGGATGGGACAATGGCTGAATGGATAGGTGGATGGATGGAAAGATGGATGGATGGATGGATGGATGGATGGATGGATGGATGGACAATGGCTGAATGGATAGGTGGATGGTTGGAAGGATGGATGGATGGATGGATGGATGGATGGATGGATGAGTAGGCAGGATGGTGGATGGATGGATGGATGGATGGATGGAGAGATGGATGGATGGATGGATAGATGGATAGGAAGGTGAGTATATGGATGGATAGATGGAGAGATACTCCATAATAAACCTTCCAACTAAACAGAACCTAAAACTAACAATAACCTCACTTTCCCATCTGTGAAATGGAACTGTTGTTTTCTATAGCCTTTATCTTCACATTGTACAATTCGGTTTCAATAAATTGGGTGGCAGTTCTGATGTCATACCACAAAATGCTGCACAAAACTCTTCTAACCTTCTTTTCCTCCACCACTCTGTGTCCTCCTGCCTTTGTGTTCCCACCGAACTCTTGGAGAGCGGGGCTTGTGCCTGGCCAGAGTCCAGGGTCACTCACCTCACCATACCCATCGGCACCCAGCAAGAGGCTCTGTCCCCACTGGACACCAGCTTTTGGTTTGACCCCCCCCAACTTGTAGTGACATCAGGACCCGTGCACCGTGGCTGAAGAACTGTTTCTGAATGTGTCTCTTAGCTTCTGATTATGCTGAGCAATTCCAGTGGTGGAACCAGGTCCTTGCTCGCAGCTGGCCGCGCATCGCCACCGTGTTTATTATCATCGCTTGCCAAATGAGTGAACGTGTGAACACGTGAACCAATTCTCAGGCTTCTCCTACGCCGTCAGAAGACAGGCCCCCCAGCTCACAATGCTAACTCTGTTCAGACTCTGGAAAAATAGGTTCCAGAAAATACAGAAATTAGACCGAGAATAACAGCCCCTAACATCTGGGGAATATAATCTGCTCACTTCCCTACATCTAGTACGCGCCACCCCCCACCCCCCGCCCTGTGAGCTAGAGAAGTCGTCTCAGAACGCATGCTGAGTGGTTTGTCTTCCCAGAATATGAACCCCTGCACTGTAACTGAGATAATGTGGAATAGATGTTACTTCATTTTCAGTGGCTTTCATTGCAACTGATCTGTTTCTAATGGAGATCTGACTACTACAATGAAGTTTATTTCTTTGCATTCCTAAGCTTCTCAACTTGACTTTCAATACCGTTTCAATGGGCTTTTTAGTTATGCTGGGGAGACTGCCTTTAGCAGTTTTTAGTAAAACCTTCTCTCATAAGCACAAATGTGTAACACCAATTTACTTCTCCCTGAACTTATAACCAACGTCATTCAAAAAAAAAAAAAAAAAAGTCTTAAACATAAAGGTCACTGATTTACTTTTATGAAACTCATCAAAAATACAGCTTCCCAAGATGAGCAAAGCTCATGCAGACTGAACCTTCCCCCCAGTTCTCCCAGCCTGCGGTCACGGAGCATGGCTAACCAGACGCCTAGCACAAAGGTTCACTGAGAGCCTTGGGCGCTGGAGGCCACCTGGGGGCCGCTCCAGGAGCAGTGCCCCCGTGACCGGGGTTCAGACACCTCTGCCGAGGGCAGATGGGTGGGGACAGCAGGACTCAGCTCCCTCTCCTGTCAGGGTGGAGGCAGGAAGTCTGCCAAGGGTGAGAAGGCAGCTGCGGGCGTCCCAGCTCCGGCAGGTGTGTGCAAGCTGCTTGTGACATGGAACCGGAGTGGCCCTGCAGACTGGGTGGCGCGGGAGACCTGGGACACGGGGACACAGAGGGCCTGGGGTGACAGAGCAGGCTCACGACCCGCACTCGTCCCTGGGGCTGGGTGGCTGGAGGCCAGGGTCCTCAGGGTGGTGGCAGGACCTTGCTCCCTCTGCGGGCTCCAGGGGAGTGTCTGATCCGCGCCCTCCTCGCAGCCCTGGTGCTTGCCCAGGTTCCCGGTGTTCCAGTCCTTGCCTCTGCTGCCACGTGGCTGTCTCCCTGCGTGACGTCACATGGCCTTCCCTCCCTGCTTGCCCACCCTGGGATTCCTCTTCTTATGGGGACACCACCTGTGGGATGAACACCAGCCTAGTCTCCTACCTCCTCACCGTAACTTGATGACGTCGTCAAAGACCTTCTTTCCAAATAAGGTCACATTCGCCAGGCTCTAGGACTTCCACACCACTTTTGGGGGACAGATTCAACCCCTAACAGACCGGCTGCTTGGCAGGCCGCAGGAGGCAGAGGCAGAAGAGGGCTGCGCCTGGCGGCAAGGCTGGGGGACAAGAACGCGGGGCTGTGGTCCCAGAGAGGGGCCCCCAGAGCAGGAGCCCAGCTTCACATGGCTTCGGGGCTTCCAGCCGCCAGCGGGGCGCAGGCCCCCTCTGTGTCCTCACAGGACAGGTAACGTTCCACCTGCTGCTACTTCCTTAGGGTCATGGAAACCGCCACTGCCCCCCCACCCCGAACCCAACGGCAGGGTCATGGAAATCACCACTGCCCACCCCCTGAACCCAATGACAGGGTCGTGGAAATGCCCCACTGCCCCCCACCCCGAACCCGACGACAGGAGCCTGGGGGTGGCTGTTTGACCCTGACTGAGGAGCCAGATTCTGTCTCCCACGGAAGAGGCCGACCCACAGGGGTGGTAGGAAGCCAGCCTGGGACCCCAAGGCCCGGATTCCAGGCCCCACTCTGTGCCTCCCGAGCCAGCCTTCTGATCTACGAAAGGAGGGCTTTGGGGGAGAAATCTCAAGTGATTTCCACTTCCACCGCTCTGAACCCCACTTTCCTGCTGACTGATCTGGTAACTTCACAGTGGCCGGACCTCCCCTTCTCCGTGACCTTCAGCGGCAACCTCTTGACCTTCCCATCGCTAGTTCACAGACACCTTCCAGAGAAGGAGCAGAGGCTCGGAGGGGCCCTCCAAGGCCCAGGAGAGCCACTGCCACACCTACCGCCCAGAACCTGAACCCCGCTCCAGCTTTTAACGTGGTTTCCAACAGCTGAGGCAAGAGAAGGTGGGTGGGTGGCCAGCAGAAGAGCCCGCAGGGCCCTGAGTCAAGGATGCACCTTTCCGGCTCCGCCTTTATCTCCAGAAGTGCTTGTCCCCGCGAGAAGCCACACGGCACCGTCACCCACAGAGAAGGAGGCGGCAGACGTGGCTTTAAGGGCCCCGCGCCAGAAGCTCAGCCTCACCTTGGTGCCCCACGCGTGTCCCACACTGGACACCACTCCTCGCCCCCTGGAAGGAGGGGACGGGCCTGGCCGTCCCCGCTGGCAGGTCAGGGAACCGTGCACGCTGGCTCTGAGACGCGACAGAGGTGCCCTGGCACCATCAGGCTTCCTGAGGCAGAGGCTGACTGGAGGCGAAAACCCTGGCCAGCTCTCACCTCTCCTTGCACTCATATTTGGGGGCCATATTATCAGTCGGCCATTAACGTACAAGAGGTTACGAGGGACAGGAAGTAGTGAACATATGTGTCAACACATGAGAAAAGAATAGCGTCCAAGGGAACGTGCCAGTCTGGCATCACTTACCTGAAGTCGGCACACACTCGTCTAACGGGTTAAAGGCGCTAAGAAAGGGGCGCCTGGGTGGCGCAGTCGGTTAAGCGTCCGACTTCAGCCAGGTCACGATCTCGCGGTCCGTGAGTTCGAGCCCCGCGTCACGCTCTGGGCTGATGGCTCGGAGCCTGGAGCCTGTTTCCGATTCTGTGTCTCCCTCTCTCTCTGCCCCTCCCCCATTCATGCTCTGTCTCTCTCTGTCCCAAAAATAAATAAAACGTTGAAAAAAAAAAAAATTAAGGCGCTAAGAAAATGAATGATTTTTTTTCCCTCATGCATACACAATTATATACGGGATACTGCCTCTCTCTGTATGTAGCTTCAAAATCATTATTACCTTTGTCAAAGGGGGCAGCTAATGAAAGCGCAACGCTGCATAATTAGTGAACTCTTTAATAATAAGGTTCATTTAATTGACCTTCATTTCTGGTTTCAGAATAAGTCTGACAATATTACTTGCCAGCCACTCCCAAAAGCAATAGTTGTACCATAAGAGCAATCATCTTGGGGCCTGAAAATTCATCTCTAAATGAAAGAATTTTCTTTTTATGGCCGGAACCCTAAAATAACGGCAGCGCCCTGGGTAGAGGGCAGGGGAGAGGAAGTGGGAGAGACAGGATTGGAAACTTTCTGACAAAGAGGCGCCGTGGTGCTCACAGTTGCTCTTGTCCCGTCCGCGCACTATTTTATAAGAACTGTGTAAGGGCACCAGTTGGTAAATACCAGAGGGCTGTCACGGCAGGGATACCCGGCTCCGTAAACACATTTGCGCACAAGTGCTTACAAACGGGCCGTCGATCATGCCAGGAAGACTTTCCAGCCTGTGCCATCGTGTCCCAGGGTGTCTCTGGCTACAGGAGGTGTTGTGAGGTGTCTCTGGGAAGCGTAGTCCCCACCTCTTCTCTTCAAGACCTACAGCATCACCCTCGGTGCAGGGACAGCACCATCAACAGTGACCCGTGGTGTGGGACAAGCCTGCACCGGTGTCCAATGAATCTGGGCTCCCACTGTGCCCTGGACCCGGGGGGGTGGGGTCAGGAGGAACCCACTGCCCCTCAGCACCTTCCCTACCCCTGGCTGGTGTCCCATGGTCTCCTCTTCTCTTCTCCAAGCCTATGCTCTTCCACTGGGTTCCTGGAAGGGCAAGGAAATAAGGGCTTCTGTGGCCTCATCATCACCGAGAGTCCCCCGCTCTGACAACTGCACACCTCTGTGCAGAAGCCAGCATCATCAACAAGTAATGAGAGCAACAGAAACACAGTAGCCAACAATCCCGAAATTCTGAAATCCACAATTAAAAACTGGAAAGTTTCTGCCACTGGTACGTTGGTCCCAGGCCGACTCACCACTAGGGGAACAAGAACCCGCCAGGATCGGAAGGGCGTGTGCTCCAAGGCAGAGACTGCGGAGAAGCAAGGACGGTGGGCCGTGACAAGACCCCGGAGCAGAAGCAGGAGGAACATCTGACCAGCGTTCCCGCCAAAGGGCTCCCCTCGGAAGAGACGACCCGCGTTGCATGGAGAGCCATGCGGGACAGTTGCTTAGACGTGAGTTCCTTGTTTTACACGTACCTTGTTCGTTTCATCTTCTAGCAAACTTCTTTTCTCCCCAGCAGAGGGGTACTAATTAGTGCATATTAAGCACCTATTAATGGCGCTTTGCCTACTTGGCCCTCAGGCATTGCTGAAAATGCAGACCTGGGTCCAAGAACCAACTGGTAACTGGGTTTAAAACCCTAGGAGCCAATTGTCCCACGATTCTACACCCTTCCCAGCCCACCCCACCACCATGCTTTTCAACCAGGGGCCACGAGCACACCAAAGGGACAAAAAGCACCAGGGTAAAACAAGGAACACTTTCCGTGCCAACAATGTTGCTCAAGGCAGACAAATTTTAACTTCTTTTATTTAGAGCAAATGCAAGCCTATTAAACTAGACAATATTCATTATTCTTTAAGTGAGACGAGTGATGATTTTTCAAAAATGTTCTGTGGAAGGTCTTTTTTTTAATTCACTTATTTATTTTGAGAGAGAGACAGACAGACAAGAGGGGAGGGGAGGGAAGGGGAGGGGAGGGGAGGGGAGGGGAGGGGAGGGGAGGAGAGGAGAGGAGAGGAGAGGAGAGGAGAGGAGAGGAGAGGAGAGGAGAGGAGAGAGAATCCCAAGCATGTTCTATGCTATCAGCTCAAGAAACCTCGAGACCAAGACCTGAGCCAAAACCAAGAGTCGGATGCTTAATGGACTGAGCCACCCCAGTGCCCCCTGAGGCAGATCTTCTATCCCTGCTTCCAGACCAGGAATCCAGGCTGGAGTCCTTCTCCGCTGTGAAGAGAGGCTTTGGTGAAAGGGTCCCAGGACACTGAGCAGAGGCGGGCCCCCTCTCGCCCAGCTGCAATGGCCCAGCGCGCTGAAATCCCGGTCCATCTGTGGGCCTGCTGTTCCTCCCAGAGCCTCTCACCAGTAGACCTGGAAAGGTCCACAGAACTGGGCTCAGGCTGCACACGATTATGCTTTTAACTTCCTCTCCGAGTACTGTGCCGTGTTTGTGCTCACGGGGACCCCAGGCCAGCTCTACAAGTCTTCCTCCTCAGTGACATCTGGCCTGGACTCGGCGGGCAGCTCCGGGCTCGGCGGGGCTCTCTCACGGACCTGAGCTCGGCTTCCGGGTCAGCTGGGGGCTGGCCGGTCCAGGGGGCCTCCGCTGGGTAGGTCAGTCTACACCACGAGGTTCTGATCCTCCTGCACACCAGCCCTGACCTGCCCACGACGGCAGCCGGGCAGGGTTCTCAGGAGACCACAGAAGCACACACGGCCCCGTGAAGCCCGCACTTGGCAGTGACACGGCACCATGTCCGTTACCGACTGTCTGTCAGAGCAAGTCGTGAGATCGGCCCAGATTCAAGCAGGAGAAAAACAGACGGTACCTCCTGACAGAAGAGAGCGGACGTCACGCCTGCAGACGGGGAGGGGAATCATCGCTGCCATTTTTTGCAAACATGCAGCGTTTTCTCTTCCCGTATGCTTCCATCCAGAACCTCTAGATCACAGCTTCCCAGGAAGCTTTACCCGTTCCCAAGGACGTGCAGTTGGGGGCCCCACAGACAGATGCGCGCACACGTGTGCATGTGCGTGAATGTGTCTGCCTAAGAAAGAGAGTAGGGGTTTCAGCATCATCTGCAAGAATGAAGCATCTGTAAATTGCACTTCGTTGGGTGGAGGGTCCGTGCATCTCTTATATTCCCTACCACCGCCAAAACACGTCTGCACGTCGTGTTCTGTTGCCTTTGCCAGCAACCGTCGTCTTTCTCCTCTCTTTTTAATTCACTCACCAGCTATTCCAGCTCTACGTAGCCAGAAAAACAAGGACCGTACCAGACAGCTCAATAGACAACATTTAATATGGGAAACTGGTTACAAAGGTGTTAGAAGAGATAGAAAACCAAACCATGAGGCAACCCAAGGATTGGCTAAAGCAGGAGAACCCTCCCCCAGGATGGGAGGACTACCAGAGAGAGGCAGAGGTTAGTGGAGCCCAGAGGCCAGGTCCCCTGCAGGAGCTGGGTCCTCAGGAGGGGCCGCAAGGCAAAAGCTGGAACCACAGCCAGCACATAGCAGCTGGGACACCTGCTGGGGCTGAAGAGAGGGGAGAGGGTCCTGGGACAGCTCTGGGGTTGAAGAGAGGGGAGAAGGGAGAGGGTCCAGGGACACCTGCTGGGGCTGACAAGCAGCAAAGACACCCTGGCTGCTGCAACCCTCCTTCCAATGCTGCCCACGGGCCTACCCAGGCCAGGAACCTGGCTGTGCACAGGGACAAACCATCTCGGTGGCTCACAAGGAAGGCCTGTTTCTCACTCTGCTCCAGTGCCCATCACACCTGGGTCTGGGCTGAAGAGCAGGTGTGCCGTCCTCATGGCAGACAAGGGGGGTCAGGGCAGGTCAAGGACCACCAAGGAGGCTGTGCCGGGCCCTGGGAGGGCCCACACTTCATGGGACGACGCAAGTCACGGGGCCCAGCCCAACACGGATGAGAGAGCTCCGTCCACACAGGGTCCCCATCAGCCCCGTGGCGGTAGGCAAGAGAGGTATTCCTCTTGCAGAAAGGGCAGCTGTATTAGTTCCCTGTGGCTGCAGTAAGAAATCACCACACGCTGAAAACAACACAAATGTATTTTCTTACAGTGCTGGAGACCAGAATTTTGAAATCGGTCTCACTGGGCTAAAGTCAAGGAGTCGCCGGGGGTTCCTTCTGCAGGCGCCAGGGGAGAATCCCTTTCCTGTCTTTTCTGCTTCTGGGGCCACCCACACTGTCTGGTGTGTGGGCCCTCCCTCACATCACCCCAACCTCTTACCTCCGTTGTGACTTTCCCACTTCCTCCTCTGATCTCCTGCCTGTGGTTCCCCCATAAGGACACTTATTGTTACTTTGGGCCCACCTGGATCATCCAGACAGCCTCCCCATCTCATGATGCTTAACCTAATCCCAGCTGCAAAGTCCCCTTTGCCGTACAGGATAGCATTCCCAGGTTCTGGGGATTGGGATGTGGACGTTCAACCACCACAAGCAGCACTTGCAAGGGGTCTGGAGCGATGCAGGGTGCAGGGACCAGGCTCCCGCACCAGGGAGCACAGCAGAGGAAGGGCAGGGAGGTCTTCCGGAGTCTCCTCCCAGCCTCTTCTTTATCAAGAAACAGTCCTTGCGTGCAGGGGGGGGGCTCCATCCCACCCATGAAGGGAAGAAATTCACAGCTCCTCACCTGCCGAATGAACGGTCTGCTGCTAAAATCTGTGCAGCCCGGTGTCAGACTCTTGGACAAGTGAGATAAACAACGGTCATAATTCAGGTGTCCTACCTCGTAACACATTGTGTTTATTAACACACTGGCTAAGAGCTCCAGCTCCAGAATCCATCTCCTTGAGCACTATGATTCCTACAGGCTGTCACCGGAGGCCACCTCGGTGCTACAGGCAGGTCACAACATGGCCGTTTGCATCGTCAAGGCCAGTGGAAGAAAGAATGTCTTTCTTCCAGTCTGCTAAGATGGCGTCTTAGATGATGTTATGTGGTCTGGGAAGGCACATGTCCTCTCCTTGGTTACACTCTATTGGTTAGGACTCACAGGTTCCACCTGCACTCAAGGGAGAGGGGATTATACACGAGTGTGACTCATTGAGAGTCATCTTAGGGTGTATCAACCAGACATAGAGACAGAGAGAGAGAGAGAGAGAGAGATGATAGATAGACGATTGATAGATGATAGATAGCCCATCGATATATAATAGATGATTGACAGACGATTGATAGGTGATAGATAACAGATGGACAGATGGATGGATGAATGGATGGATGGATGATGGATGGATA